ATTTGGCTGAAATACCTCAGTGTCGCACAAGCTGTTTGCTCTCTGCTGGCTGCAGAGCAGCCCGAGGCCATGGGATAAGACATGGGTTTTCATGCCTGAGTTGGAGGGATGGTGTTGGGCCCCAATGCTGCAGGCTGGCGATGAGCTGTGCTTCCAGCCCTGGAGCACGAGGAGCCGTCAAGGAGGGGGTTTCTTCCTTGCTCTTAATTTCAGTGGGAGCAGAGGGTTATACAACAGTGAGGCAGATGGAAATGTCACAACAGTGAGCTTGGCAGCTGCACAAACACAACTAATCTGCCCTCGTTTAATGCTCATAGCCACAATATAAACATACGTACAGCACAAGGTAATAGATGAGGTAAATCTGTCATTGGCAGCCTCATTACAAGGGGCGTGCTGCCGTGATTGTATAGAATAAAATAATTAATAATAATGTTATAGCATTTTGACAAACGTAGATGTACATACTTTATACAAACATTTATACATATGTGTGTATGTGTATAAATATATACACATATATATACACAGCCAAGCTGCCTATCTAGTCTCAGTCCCTTCCAGATCAATTTATTTTCTCACTGATTATAAGCTCTTGAGTAAGGACCATAGTTTCTGATTTATTCTCCAACACCACTCTCCCATGTACTAACTGGACTTTCATTTGTCTGCACAGAGTCCGTGACAATAAGTGGTGAAGTATTTCATGAAAATGGCTGTTTCTTACCCAAATAGTGAAAAAGCACCTTTCCCATCTGTCTCAAGTACACACCCACCATGGGCACACCAGCAGGAGGTCAGTACCCTGCAGTCGCAGCTGTGATTGCTCTGTAACAAGGCTTGGAGATGGCTCAGGTCTCTCAAGCCTCTGGCTTTAACCAGTGAGTGAACCCAGTACCGAGGGGCTCAGTTAAATTTCCTTTGGTTCATTAGCAGTTTTTAGTAATTGTAAAAATCAGTGAAAACAACCCTGGGCATGAGTCTGGGCTGGTACAGTTCAGGATGGGATGTCTGTATCTGCTTTTTCTGGTATCTATGATTTTGTGATACCTAATGTGGCCTTGAAAAGAGCTGTTATTTTCAAAAAGTCAGAATTCAGAGTATTTTCTGTGGGTGTCTAGTTTCTCTTGAAGGGCTTCCCAGGTGGTTGAAGAACATCTGTTCCCAGGAGTACTGGAGAAGACAACACCAGTTTATCCCACATTCTCTTCCCTTGTCTTTCCCCATCCTGTCATCACCCCACCCTTACCATGCTCCAGCCTCCCACTTCCCTCCCTGCTTTGGGGAGCCATGGGCCAAAGTCTGCCCTCCTCACCCTGTTGCCCCTTTTCTAGGACATCATCTTGGGCCAGCTTGGGCCCCTGAACAAGCAGGTCCAAGACTGGCCGGACTCAAGAGGCTGTGTGAAGAGTGGGAGCATTTGTTAAACTTGATTCCTTTGGTCCTGGAATTTTAAGACAGTTTTTAAAGTGATGATGAAGGCTTATGCTGTGAACTTCAGCTGCATTAAAAAATGTCTCTCTTTTTAAAATTTCATTCAAATTGTCCCACTTTGGCATCTCAGTGGTGTATTTGATTTGTGATTTGGAGGGCTTCGCTGACAGTGACATTTTCATTTATCTGAGTACATGATTGTGCTGGCACAATCCGTGGGTGGTAGCATCACCTTCAATATTAAATGTGGCTACTTGAAGTAATTCATTTGCAAGAAGGAAGTATAGGCCTAACATATGAAAAGTGTCCATCCAGCAATAACATAGCATCTATGATTAAATGCTTACAAGCTTTTTGTGCTGTAATCTCAGCTGGAGACTTGCAGTTCGGGGTAAATGCTCTCAAGAAGCAAAGTATTTATAACACTGTTACTCCACAGAGGTCCCAGGTTTTCCCAGCCACGAGGAACACACAAAGGGATGCCAAAATTTCCAGTGACGTCCTAAGGAGAGAAGCTCACATGCTGATGCCTTTCACACCTCAGCTAATGCAGTCATGCAGCCACGCCCATGATTACCTTTGGTAAACCTTCAACATTGCCCCCGCAGCACCTCCCTGCTCTGCTCCTACTGAATCGCTACACCCAAAGTCACAGCAGGAAGTACGGCTCTGCAGGTCCTGCAGTCAACGAGATTGTGAGGGTTGCCCTTTTGTCTTCGAACAGTCATTATTTTCCAATAACAGAACTGCTATCAGTGTAGCAACTAACCCCAGTGACATAGCCGAAGTCTCACACACGAGGAGGGGCGCCAGGGCACTGGGGCTGTGTTGCTGCAATGCCACAGCAGCGTGGGGATGTCCTGCCAATGGGATTCTTCCCTGGAAGGGGATCACCTTTCTGGTCCTTGCCCTGAATCCTGGTGCCATGCACATGCTGCTGCCCCCTGAGCATTGCTGATGAAGTTGTCATGAACTGTGCAAAGCATTGTAAATGAACAAACATTAAAGTATTGCCTAGCCTGAAATAATTGCTGGCCCCATCCAGAATAACCCAGACAACAAACCCTGTGAAATCTGGGACGTATTTCCCTGCAGAAATTAGCCTCAGTTCCCTTAAAGGGAAGAAATCCTTCTTGGAGCCTTTCAAGTGTGGGTATGTGTTTGATACAGGAATGAACGCAATGTTGGAGAAACCTCAAAGGTAACAACCCTGATGCAACTTTCAGGAAAGGTGAAAACTCCCCAAACTGAAGGTCTCTAGCAAGATTAATGCCCTGACCCAGATCTTAGAGCCCTGATCTGGGCTTGAGGAGGAGGCAGGGAGCCCATAACTATGAAAAGGAACAGAATGAATAAATATTTCCTTTCTCTGAATCTGATAACTCGGTGGAGGCAGTTATGTGTCGTTATCAGTTGCACAGCTGTTACTTAAATACTTCGATGGAAATGTTAGCAGTCTACTCTAGCAATTAGCCCTCCAGAGAACAAATCAACAACAACAAACAAAACACAAAAGCAGCTGGGACCCCGATTCTTACATATTACGGGCACCAGTGGTACAAACTTTTACAGCTAGCCAGATAAGGTGGACAAGGCCTTGCTAACAGGTGAAGCCTGGACAAGATTTACAGTGGTCAGGCAATGATAGAATTACTATCGTATAGACAGCTCCTGGTCTTCAAGCACAGAAGCCGGGGTTTTCACAGCCTGAGCCCAAATGATCAGGGGAGAACATGGGGTTGACTACCTACAAGATGGCATTTGACCTTAAGATATCACAACATATAATAAAACTCAACTGCTCAGGAAGAGAGGTTGTAGGAAAGGATTTTGAGTTTCCAAAGCAGTGAGGGGGATGTTTGCGCCTCCCTTTCCTGTTTAGCTGGTAGATCAACAATCTAGCAGGCATGCTGGACACAGTTTGAAGAGTATTAGGCAAGTTACAGGAAAGAAACAGTTTTAGGCCAGTGTGGTCCTATGTTTTCTTGCCATCGAATCTGGAGGATTTTTGGACTGCTTCTGTCAAAGCTAACGATTCCTGTCACATTTGTAGGGCAGCAGGGAAAAGGAGCTGTAGTTTGCATCCCACCACCCTATTTTCACAGGGAGACTGGAGTTTCTCTCGATTACCTGAAGTCCTTCCTCACATGCCCAGCCTCCCCTACACCAACAACAAGTATGGTAACTTGGCTTCCTGCCTGTTCTCCTGAGAGCTTTGAATCCAAAGGATACTCATGGGAGGGATCCTGAGTGAGGATAATAAATCTTTCATACTAATGAAAAATATCCCTAAGGTGATACTTTACAGATCTGAAGGAAAACAGAGTATTTGTGAACATGCCGGACTGCAGACTTCAGGACACTGCCAGACCCATATAATGCTATACTTTTGGAAGAGTCAATCAGACTAGCATGGATTTCAGCATAAGTCTTGGTCTGGCTCCACTGCTTCGACTTTGGATTGTAACTCCAGCTGTTCCATATCAGCTGGGCCCTGGGAGCATTGCATATTAATTAAATGCACAAGGAAATTATGCATTTGGAACAAACCTACTCCTTTTGCACTTCAGTTCAATGTCATCAGAACAAGAGGACAGCAAGAAATAATTTACTGTGTGACTCCTACATCGATTTAGCAGCTGGTTTGACCTATTCTAGCAGAGTGCTGCTTTATGCACCCTTTTCTTTATAAAAAGCCTTTTCAAAGAAAATCAGGTTCTCTCCAGCTTGACACATGGCAGAAAAGCATCTGCTTGCTCTAAGCCCTCGTTCATGAAGCTCCACTTCTGTGGAAGGCAGTGGGGTGGAGGGTGTTCACCTCGGGGCAGGCTCAAGTGCTCATGGGTGGTTAAGTTGGATGAAAACTGAGCTACCCCAATAGTTTCAGAATCCAGTTTAAAAGTGCATCTTCAGACTCATTTTTCCATAAGCTATACAGCTCTGCTGTCTCACAAACACTCTTAGTCTTAATAAAAAGACAAAATTACAAATCACTACAATAACCGAGTCATTCTCCTGTAACATTTGCTCAAAGAAAAAAAATCCAAAAACGTAGCATAAACATACATGCAGCACAATTATGGATCATTAATTTCTCATATTTTCCTAAGAAAAAAATGCATCTCCAGTCTGACTGTTGCTTCATCTCAAAAGCTCCTGCCTTTTTTAAGTCTCAAATGCTCCTGAGATGTCTGTCTCTCCATAGATAATATTTAAATAAATATAGAAAGCTTTTTTAAAAAAACAAACAAACAAACAAACAAAACAACACAACAGCATTTCCATTTGTGTAGGACTCAAATGGACTTCCACCTCCAAATTATCAGATAAAAGCAAAGTACAGTTCTAGCATAACCTTCAGGAAAAAAAAAAAAAAAAAGGAAAAAAAAAAAAGGTGCAAGGAATTCTATTTAGAGCCACTCAAAGGACTGCCTGAAAGCAATTGCAGCCAATTCTTCAGGTTAGTAAACAGAACATGCTGGAGCATGCAGTGAGTACAGGGGTTTGCCATGTATGTTTAGATACTAATTCCTTGATGTTTCTGTTTTGGCATGCGATGCACTGGTGACAGTACTCCACACAGCAGCATGTGGGATTAGGAGAGTGTTTGCATGCATGTGCAATGAGCACTGTCAGGAACTTCCCCACAGAAGAAGCAATCCTTATTCTGAAAAATGAGATGTTCTTTCAAAACCAGGTCAATCCATTTCTTTTGTTCTTGCAACTGCAGAAACAGGTATATCAGGAAAGGACACACACACACACACACACACAAAAAAAAAACAAAAACACAAACAATAAAACAGAAAAGAAGCATTCTACATTCAGATAAATGTATACTTCTGCCATAAAACCTTTAATAGCAAACAGGGGATTTTCAACACAGAACTTTGCCAAGGATCCCCACAACACAGTGTCACCATTACACATTTTTACAGGACATCGGTCTATTTTACAATCTTATAACTATTTTCTTTGGAGATTTTTTTTCACATATTCAACTTCCAGGGACAGCTTTTGCGCAGAAGCACAGTAAAACAAGTCTGTAAGGGACTTTACTCTGAAAGCTGTTTTTTCTAGCCCTCTACAGAATATTTGTCAGTCAAACAAAAAAGAAAGACTTGCTATTGAAAATCCTCCCAAAAACATTTTGACATCTAAATCAAGTGTTTTTAGCCTGCCTGGGAGCTAATAATTTGATTAACGTGCTGCTTGCTAGTTCACTTGGATGACAGTGTAGACACCAGCTGAAGGACTGCAGCCTTGACAGTGTCACCAAAATAAGGGGCCGTGAGTGAAAGCATGGTATTAGGTAATGAGCAATCCATGGCAGAATCCAACCGATCAAAGAAAACTTGACCCAAAGAAGCTGCCTCGCTTTAAAGAAATGAAAATACAAATGCTGCTTCCAAATCAAAGTCCACAGTCTCTTTCCTCATTTACCCAGTTAAAAGAACAATCAGGTGTGTGGTTGGTAGTAACATTATACCCCATGTGTAAGGCCTCATTTTCAAACAAGCTCCAGATTATAGGACTATAAATACAGGGTTACATATAGGCCATCAGTTCCTCACACTGTAGCCTGTTGCCAGGCTGTGGCAATCTGCTTCTGAAACATCGATGTTGGACTGTACATGAGCAGCAAGCTTCATTCTCTGTAAGCTCTGGGGTTGGAGGGTGCACACTGGAAGGGATCATGTATTCACATGCAGTGCAGTTTCATCTTCTGTAAGACAATGGAGTCGAGCTGGCTCGGCTGGGGCATCTCCTTCAGCCAGAGTCCATAGTGAAGAGCTGGATGTCGTGAGGGTTCCAGTACAGGGCTGTAATTTGTCATTTATTACAAGGGCCACGGCGGAGTTGTAAACCAGAGACCAAACATAGGGAATGAAGAACTCCTCAGGCTGCTCCTCTTCCACGTACTTAAACTTGAGCTCAGGGAACTTCTGCAACAAGAAACAAAAGGCCGCTGAGGGGAGGCTCGCATGTCTGCAAACATGCAGCCTACATACACGCTGAAGAAAGAAGCCTGGTCAAAAAAAATGGAGGGAACTGAAACATTAGACCCAAAGGAAAATATTTACCATGAGGGATAAAGAGATCATTTATAATTTCTTCTTTGAACTGCATGCTACACTGGCATGTTGTACTCAGCCCTTTTACTGTTGGTCACACTCAATTTGCCTGTTAACAAAGACTAAACGTGTGAAGCCTCTTGCACGTGTACAGGCCTGCTTACTCCAGTATTCCCTGAAAAGCATTAATATTAAATTAAAATGAAATTTAAAATTCTTTTATTTTTTAATGAAAAAAATATTAATGAAAAGCATTAATATTAATTGTAAACAGCCCCTTAGCAGAAGAATCCTTTGGAAAGACTAATAAACAGTTTGTGGTGTGCTGTAACAGCATTAGGGCATGCTGACTTCTTCCCTCTAATTCTCCAAGATTTTCTATATGCCGAGGTTTGAGGACAGAAACACCTCTTCCACAGGGAGCACAGTGGGAAGCACGGTCAGGCTCCACGCATGGGTTCTGGCATCCTGGGTGCCCTTTCCAGTTTTGCTACAAGTTCCTTGCCTCTGTGTCTTGGCTTTCCAGTTGCTGAGGAGCACACAGAATGAGTCTAATGGCATTACTGTGCAATTAGGGGACAAAATCCTGCAAGCTCTTCAACTGCAACGTGCCATGCATCTCTTCCACCTCAGCTCTGAAAGCTGTCACCACAGTACCTGTGTACATAGGCATTATTTATTGCCCATCCATGCAGGTACCTCCCTCTCCTGGACAACACAGGCTAGACAAAGTCATTTCCACAAAAGCCCTGTTTTTCAGTACCAGCTTTAAGCAAAGGACATCAAAAATTAACACGTTGGATGTGCCAGCCCAGCCTGTCCCAACTGGAGAGAGATGCTGCACCCTCAGCTTTCCCATTTTCTCCCATTTCTTCCCTCCCGAAGGCACACATAACACAGAGGTGGTTCAATGCAAAGCCACTGTGTTCACCCTTGGTATGTGCATGCTTTGGGGAAAAGTGGAGCCTATTTTTGTGTTGTGCTATACAATCATTTTATCTATTTCTAAATGTTGCCTGTGTCAAGAGCTTGGCACAATCTCAGATTAAAGCCTCATTACAACGATCACTGGGGTAAGATAAAACATGACCCATTTTATTATTTATAAGGCTGTAGCTAAGACTAAGAATAAATTCTATGGTGTGACATTGTTATAAATGGCTCAGGATTCAAATTAGGATTAAATACAAAATAGGATTTATTAAAAGAATATAAAGGAATAGAGGTAAGCAAACAGTGCTGGGTGCACCGGGAGTCTCCGCTCCACCAGGACGCACACCAGTTACATCAAGCAGCTGATTTTTATGTTCCTAGACTAATACATATTCATTACTACTTCTAAAAAAATAGATTATTATAATTAGCTTCCGGGGTCCAGTCCCTCCTACTGGAGCATGCGCATCAGTCTCCTCTGGGGGTCTCTAGGGGTCTTTCATGCTGAAGGTTCGTAGTCTTCCTCTCCCCTTTGTACTCCTTTGGCACTGTATCAAGTTTATAGAACATTTTCTGCAGGTCTTGTCTCCCAACCGTCCTTCAGCTTCTTTTTTCTTCCTCTTAATCTCTTGGCCTCCCAGCCAGATACCAAAGATCTGTTCTGAAACTCCCAGACATCAAACACAAACAGCTTTCTTATTTGACGCTTCACGAGTAATTAAAACATTCTTCCCCAGCCATTCACAGACACATCTATAGCAGTGTTAAGTTAATCTCGAAGAAGACAGGAAAAAAGGCTGTAACTGTTAGAAATAGAAGTCCGGAATAACAAAAGCAAACAGGTTCATAAATTTAAGGAGTGTTTTCTGAAGACGTGATAAATTGACTAGAATGAGGGGGAGACTGGGACACACTGCATCTGTGGTTCAAGAATTAAATTGCCAGTGCAGGACCCAGAGGCAGACAGGATTCAAACAGAATTGTTCTTTATGGACACGAATTGTTAAAACATTCCTCACAACATGATCAGAACAAGCACAGAAATGGCTAAGAAGCCTCTTTGCCCATTAATAATGAAGGGATGCCCTATCATCTTTCTTGAGTGTACTGTTTCCTCATACTAGGGCACAGGACTCTTCTGGCTGGAATGGTCTCCTTTGAAGGAGCACTTCTTGGCCACTTGTCTGTCGGGGTTATTTATCTAACCTTTACACACCCAGACTCCATGTTCTTGGGAGTCACAAAACATGGAAACTATTCCTCTCTTTCCTTGAGTCGCTGCTGTTATTAGAGCAGTTTGGTGCAAATACCAAGCATACAATTAGGCCAAGCCACAAAGCTGCCACCTGCATCATGCTTTATGAGGAAGGCGTCTCCATAGGCAGCTTTTTCAGCTTCACTCAACCACAGACTTGGGTGATAATGTGTCATTGTACTGATGAGTACATCGGTGTCACCTTGCAGTGTGCTCCAGTGTTCTGGAGCTGCTGTGGTCTGGCCCTACCCACTGGCACCCAGCTACACAGTGCCCATTTTGGGCACTGGTGTGGCTGTTATTGTATTTGCTGTCTTCAGAACAGGGGGCAGCTCATCCTTATAAGAGGCGGGGGGGGGAAGAAAGGTGGTATGGTTTCCATCACTAGTATCTGTTTAAGGACCTGAAGCTGTTACAGGACAAGGTTGTTAAAGACACTTCTGTCTCTAAAAGTTCAAAGCCCAGAACCTCAAAGGTACATCAGCAAGTTTCATATCCTGTGTCAGACATGAAGCTTGTGGTAGAGAAACTCTCCCATAGCCCTTTTGTATCCCTACAACCTCTCTTGCCAAGTTTGTTTTGACCAGCCTGTTTATCCTTCCACATTATTTTGTTCCCTCACTTTTAGGTGTTCCTCCCCTCATACTCATACCCAATGCTTAATTTCCTGTTTCCTAGTCTACTCCCTTCCCCAACCCCATTCCTATACCGTTATGGACTCTCTTTAGCATATCTTTCTATGTTGCAGTTGCCCACATATTCTTTTTTCCTCATCAGCCTTGTGAGATCCTCTGTCCCATTCCCAGTCCTCAAGCCTGACTTCCTTGTGACATCCCTCCTCTCAGGATGCCACAACTCTTTTGATAGGTTAAGCCTCACTCCAGACAAACCTCATGTAGATTTAAAAAAAAAACAAACACACACAACCTGTTATTCTACTCTGCTTATCCTCAATGTAATCTTCCCCACTTCCCTCCTAAATGCTTCCTGATTTGTGGTCAGTGTAGACAGGAACAGCATTACATCAGCAGAATGAATGGTTAAACCTCATGATTAAACCACTGTAACATTTCCTACCATAGAAAAGCCCTTACAGAGCTGTCAGTCTTTACCCCAAAGGTGGCTGCATACCAGTACTGCAGTGTGTAGCAGTCCTTCTGTGAGGGAAGGGGAAAAAAGTGATTAAAGATGCTAATTTGACTTGAATTAAACACAGATAACTCTTCTCACCTTTAAAGCCACAGATTATAGCTACTGTTTTTGCAGGTACTCAGGGTACCAGTCTGGGATCATTCTGGACTCTCATGCAGCTTAACTAATGTCTTTAGCTTTAAAGCACAAAGTTAAATCATTGTATTAAAAATTCCAATAGCTGCATCTGAGATGCTCAGCTCTTACTATACCATCAGCTCTCTGCTGGAAAGACAGCATAAAATAAACCAGATAGCATTCACATTTTCAGGCAAGAACAGTCATCCATTGACTTAATAATAAAGTCTTCTTCAGACTGATCAATGTTGTCATCTACTGTGATCGTACTGTAGTAATTTAATAATCAATTTCAGATTAAAGACTGTAACTCACTACAATCAGCTTGGACACTCACACTCACCGTATACCTTGAATAGTCTGTAGTTTTATCTTGGGAATGCAGACAAGGATAATGAGATTTTTAAGGAGAGAGAGAATATTTTCTGTCAGTGAATATGTGCATTGCCATTACATACACACAATTTCAAATATATCTTTAGAAAAAGAAGGAAAGTAATGGCAGAAATATTCATTTTTTTTGACAGCCCACCTGAACAGTGGACCCAGGGTAGCTCAATACATTGCAAACAAGACATGGAGAATTTGCCTTCCAGGTTGGTAACTAAAACCCAACTTCTTTACATGACTACAATGATCCCCGGCTGCATGGTGGCCATGTTTCCACATTCATTAAGAATGAGAAATCCTAGAGGTCCAGCACAGAGAGAACTTCTGTATCAGCATCAGTCTTGCAAGGTTTGGCAGTCATCCATTTTTTAAGATATAAAAAAAAACACACTACCAATACCATTTCATTTAGAATTACTAGGGTGTTCACTGAAAACAAAAATTGTTAATATTCAAAATCATCACATTTAAGTCACCTCAAAATGTTTCTGACTTAGACTGACTTTAAAACAACTTATAACAGCAAGGACTAAATATCGCATAAAAAGTTTGACCAACACCATAAAGCTTTAAGATTTTTGACAGATAGTAGTTCAAGGAATGTTTAACTACAGCTCTCTGTGCCATTTATGTCTCCTGAACTTACTGCCTCAAAATGAGTGAGCCTTCACCATGTGCTGCAGACATACAGGAGATGACACCAATGAATGTTTTAGGAGAGCTGTAAAACAACAAGGTCACAGGAATCTCAGAGCACTTCTGGAAACACTGCAGACAGCACTGGTGAGGCTTTTATCATTAAGTATGGCTGCTAACAAAATTCCCAAAGTGGCAAGTTAAAGCTGCAACGCAGAAAACCATTTTCTTCTGCTTTGCTGTTATTGTGTCTAACTTAATTCTTAAAGGCATTTGCTCCCTACCTTGTGACACCTAAATGAACTTGATTTGTAGCACTTTCTGAAAAGAGAGACCACTCTAGGGCATCTTAAATGGTAGTCCTAATAATAGGGGAAAAGTCTTGGCA